GAAAAAAAAAAAAAAGAAAACGTGGAACAGTTTTGGTCACTTAAGCATACCAAAGCCCACTTGTAAAAGTGTCATAAATAAAGTGAAAAGACAATCCTTGAACTTGGAAAGAATATTTATAAAATGGATTACCATCAAAGGGCTATTGTCCTTTTCCTATGAAGAGTTAGAAAATCTCAAAAATAAAAATATTTGGGAATAGAATAAAGGGCAAAAGTAGATGAATTCACTGGAGAAACCCAAATGGTCAAGAAGCAGGAGATATTTTGCTTCCTACGTGTTGATGCAGAAATTAAAATCAACACAAGATTTTTCAGAATTGGGCATGGTGGCTCATGCCTGTAATCCCAGCACTCAGGAGGTTAAGACAGGAGGATCACTGTGAGTTCAAGACCAGCCTGGGGGCTAGAAAGGTGAGCACAAGGTTTGCTTGAACTGCACAGAGAGACGCTGTCTCACAAAAAAAAAAAAAAAAGTCAGGCTTTCTTTCCTCATGAAGTTGAGGAAATGAGCAGAATTAAGTGCATGTTTTCTCAGGAACACAGGGTGAAAATGAGCTGCGCTTTGTGATTACAGGACTATTAAGTTGGTCATCCTGTTTTAGAGTACAATTCAGCAACTCAAAAGTGTAAATGTCTTTTCACCTATCACTCGAAAGTGTTAGAAGCACACTTTACCCATTAATCTTACTTCCAAGATAAGTTCTAAGGAATGACACAACATGAACATATGGCTGTTTGTTCACAATGTTTATAACAGTGACATACTGGGACTCCAAGTGCCTGGGACCAGGGGACACAGTATCAGCAACCCAGAGCCACAGGGGTGGGGCCACTCTCCAACCTGGATGGGACTTTGCCTTTTCTGCTACATTGTTTGAAATATTTACAACTGGTAATAACTTCCTAATGACTGAAGCCATAAAAAGAAACAGGCTGAGTGCATATAAATCAAAAATGGCTAAAAGGGGGCCGGGAGAGAGATCCTTGTGCTCATGTCCCCCGTGCACACGGCACACTGCGTGAGAGCACATCCTTGCTCTTAACTCCGAGGGCACCTTGCACTCCCATTCAAATTCACTGCCTGCATACAAAGGCAGCTGATTCCTCCAAGAGTTAAACAATTTTGCCTTTCAGTAAAGAAGGCTCCTGTCCCAACCTGTGTACACATCCCAGCCCCCAGCCACTGTGTCTCCAGCGCCAGCAGCTCAGGGCCCTTGCAGGCAGTGCACAGAGTTGCATCTACAGCAAGCAGGTGCACAGCGTGGTGCTGTGCTCACCTGACAAGCCGATGCTGTCTCCTCCTGGCTCCTGGGCCTGGAGGGGCCATAGAGGCAGAAGTGGCATTCTAATGCCCTAGTTCTTCTTGGTCTAGTTCTGGTGACAGCAGAGTGAGCACTGCACCCAGGAAACAGTGTGTGTGGTGAGGCCAAGATGCCGCTGGGGGGTGCTGCCCAGATGTATGAGGGCCTGGGTTCCATCCTAAGCACCATCAAAAAAAAAAAAGAAAAGAAACAATAAGCTAACCATAACATACTGTTCTGTGCAGTGGCTGGGACAAAAGCGACCCTGCCCTGGCTGTGGAAACTCCTTTCAGCCACCCGCCCTGATGGAAGACCAGCCAGGAGTTCAGGCTCCAGGTCTGCCCAGCTAGAAACATCTCTCCCTGTGACTATGTGAATTTTTTCACCACGCTACCACACCCAAGTCCAAGCTGAGGGGGCATCAAGGATGACCCAGGATACCCAGTGCACCTTGGGGCAGGAGATTCTCTTACTCTGGGGTACATTCCCAGGGCCAGCGAGAAGCAGGTAGGATGAGAATGCCGGGAGCTGATGATGTGAGAAAACCTCATGGATGAGCCCCTTAGGATATAGGAGGGTAGCTGCAAGAAGAAGAACGTTTTAGCAAAGAGAAGAAAAAGTGGTTGTGTCACTCTAGGAAAAAAGGAGAAATAAAGACCCCAAAAACCTCCAGACTGAATTCAGCTTCAGCCACTTCTCAGCACCTGAGGGTTCTGTTCTATGAGACACCTGGACAGGGTCCCAGACACCGTAAGAGCTGACCGCATACCCCTCTGGGTGTGTTCCGGTGGGCAGTGCTGCATGGGGTGGAGTTCAGTGATAGACCAAGGAAGGCACAGAGCCCTCCTAGGAGATGCGAGTGGACTTCATTCCATCTTCCCAGTCACTTTCCTACTACTGGAGCACAACCTCCTACACCGATGACCTGTAGGAGAGAGGCTTAATGTGGCTCATGGTTTCAGTCCAAGGTTAGCTGGCTCCAAGGCAGGAATATCATGGCATAAGAAAGCTGCTCAGTTCACAGCAGCTGGGAAGCAGAGCCACTGAGTGCCACTGAGCAAGGGGCCATAGCACCCAAGGCCTTGCCTCCATCACCCACTCAGTGGTGTGCTTTACAGATGCCCTGCACAGCTCCCAGGTCACTACAGTTGTTACTATTACACTTAACCATCACACCACCCACTCACTATGCACCTCTATAGGAAACAAAAGTGAAGGAAGAGGGTCTGGTATTCGAGCTGGAACATCAGTCTTCTGCCCATGGATCTGTACTCACAGTATCAGTGTCCCTGGTTCTCAGGCCACAAGACCTACGTAAGAAACATAGCACAGGCTCTCCTGGGAATCCGGGTGGCAGACAGACCAAAGGACTTCTCATGACCAAGTGAGCTGACACCTCTGAATTTACATAGGATGGTACTAGATTTAAATGGTGTTGCAATTTAATGAATTCTAACTTTGCTACAGTGCAAAAGCCATACATATCAATACAAATGACCTTCAAATTTTGAATTTGGATCTTTTCCTTGGCTGGCAACTGGCAGTATAACCCTCTCAAGAGAGAAAGGTACATCCCTAGCCAGCACTCCAGATGGCTCTGGAGAGTCTGTAACTCAGTGACTCTCCACCAGGTGGAGATGAAGACAGCCAACATGGGGGTGGCACTGATTAACCTGGCTCTGGGCAGGCCCAGGGCTGGGAGACTCTTTGTGCACCAGGTACCTGCAATGAGCAACAGCCCAGACAGTCCACAGATGGCCAGCAGTGGCTGGGGAGCCACTTAGCCTGGAACAACACACACACGCTCCGGCTGTCACCCAGTCCAGAAGCAACAAGCTATAGAGCAAGGCAGCCTTTTCCAGGCATCTCCTTCCCACAGGAGAGCTGAGCACTGGGGCTCAGGGGCTGCACTAAACCCCTCCTCCTTCCTCGCTGCTTTCCCACACTTCCTGAAGCAATGAAGTGGGACAGCTCAGTGCCCACCAAAACAAACAGCCACAGGGCGCAGAAATAAAACTGACATTTCAGTTCTGAGTGTGGGAAGGGGCTGTCCCCTCACCCAGAACACTCACCCAGACTGAGAAGGATCTATCCTGCTCCTATTCCAATTAAGTGAGCATGGCCTGGCATTTTCCTGGCACTGAATGTCGGTTTGGGAACGACCACGGGACCACAGCGACCCCTCAGGGTCGTGCCCAGCTCATCTCATTGATTGCTGATGACTAACTGACCGGTGGCCAGCATAAGCCAAAGGGTATCTCTGCAGAGGATACCTGGACATGGATGGTGGGGGTGCAGGGAACAGAAGGTGCTCTAAAGTGGGGAGGGAGGTAAAGAGGAAGGGGAGAGGGAGGGAGGTGAGAAGAAGGAGGAGGAGGAAGGGGTTCTGGAAAGAAAGAGGAAGGGAGGAAGCAGGAGAGAAGATGCAAGAGGTGAGGAGGGGGAGAGGGAGGGAGCGAGCGGACGCTGGGGCATGGGGCAAGAGGGGCAGAGAGGTTAGGACTGAGGAAGGGTTCAGAGGAGGTAGGCAGAAGGGGACGCGCAGAAGAGAAGGGGACGAGGAGAGAGAGGTAGACAGAAGGAGGGAGAGGGAGAGAGAGGAAGGGAGCGCAAGGGAGAGAAAGGGACAGGAAGGGAGGGTCCAGAAGCGGTAAAGCCGGCAGCGGAGGAGGGCGACAGGGAGAGGGGGAGGGGAGGAGAGAGAAGGAAGAGAGAAGGGGTGGGGCCGGGGCCTAGGCGGGGCCTGCGCTGCCGAGGCAAAGAGGCCCGCGCTGGTTGGCCGCGTGGCCCCGCCCCCTCCAGGCCCCGCCCGCCCCCGCCCTCTCAGCGGAAAGTACAGCGAAAAGTCCGAGCGCGGCGGCCGCGGCAGTGCAGGATGGGGTCCGGCTCCTCTAGCTATCGGCCCAAGGCCATCTACCTGGACATCGATGGACGAATCCAGAAGGTACTGCTCCCCTCCCCGCCGTGAGAGCCCGGGGCCTCTTCCTGCGCCGTGGGCAGTGCCTACTCTCCGGAACCAGGGGGTCGGCCGGATCCGTGTGCGGCTCAGGGGCGCGGGCCAGGGGGTGGCGCGGTCCGCGGCGTCCCGGGACGCAAGTGCTCCGCGAGCCCCCGGCGCTGCCCACGGGGAGGCTCCTTGGACCCTCTTTGTTCCAGGCCCTCCCATTCGAAGCCCCTTCTCTGGCTGCAGAGTGTTCCCGGCCTCTGCTTCTGAGTGGAAGACTGGGACAATGGGCGAGCAGCCTTGAGAGCCCTATTTAGCTCCCCTTGAAGTGCTGGAGCAAAAGCCATTGTGAGGAGATTGCTCCCCAGCCTCGGCCATCTCGGGGACCCCGGCTGGTGGAGACCTCCCTCAGCTGGCCATGGCAGGGAAGCTGCAAGCCACTCACCTTGCTGCCCAAGGAGGACTGGCACAGGGCACCAGGGAGTGATCCTAGTCTGAGATGTGCCCTCCAGTAGCTCCATTAGATTAGCGGACCCTGAGAGCCTCCCCAGTGTTGGTCCTGGGGGTCGGAGGTGCAGCCCACCCACTGTATCCCTTGGGAGTCCGAGGCATTTTTAAGGACAGTTGTCCAGCTTCTATGTCACAGTGAGGGGAGTAGGTCAAGAGCCCATATAGCACAGGACCAGGTCCCTCACTTCCGGGACTGGGTGCCTGCAGCTGTTTGGCAAGGAGCAGCCTCCTTCTCCCCAAAGGAAGGAAGGGCCCTACCCCATGCGTCTCCTGCCGCAGCACGAGCACACACAGACACACTCCTTGTATGCACACAAAGCCATACACAAGCACATATACAAACGTTCACGGTACACATGCACACACACGTGTGCAAACATGTGCACACGTACATACATAGACATTTTCCCTAAAGTGCTGGGGCAAAGCCAGGTGAGATTTTGGGAAGGATCTGCTCCCTTTATCTTTATAAAGAGGTAAGGTGAGCAGGCTCTGTCTCCAGCCAGTGGTGGCAGGTCCTCCCTGAGAACATGCCCAAGGTCCCCCGGAAGCTGCTCAGAAGTGGGTGGAAAGTGAAGAGGGAAGAGGTGATCCCAGGTGGACCCTATGGGAAGGTGGGGAGGCAGGTTTTTCCAGGTGACACAGGGCGCATGGGGGACCTCTAGGAAGGCGCAGCAGACCAGCCCTGGAGGTCAGGTATTGAGTTGTCTGCAAGGAAAAGCATGGATATCTGCTTCATAGACTGTTGCAGGAAACAAGAGGCTGTAAACAGTGGCTGATGGCATCACAGTGAATCCTCCTCCCCACCGGCTGTCTGCTCCACACAAAGTTCTTGGCCAAGGGGTGGGGGCAGGAGGCTGGCCATGGTCCTGAACCCTGCCATCTCTGCCACTCAGCCACTGTGTATACTTCTCTGTCATTTGGTGGTTGGGTGCTGGAGATGTACCTCTCATCTGGTTAAGACCAGGTCTTTGGGGTTTCTGAGTGTATGCTTGCATGTGCCCCCCACCCCACCCCCACCCCCATGCCCAGCAATGTTGTTGGGACCACGTGTGTCAGCTCTCTGTGACGCTTCATCGACTGTGATTCCTGTTCTACAAGCTTCAGGCACTGCACACATCTGAAAGTTCCCAGCATGCAGTCCTTTCTGTGTCCCTCAATCCGTCCCATTTCCTCCCCATCAGAGTCACAGCAAACCCATATTGCTTCCAGGGAGAGGGCATGGCCAGGGAGGAGGAGACAAGGGTGTATACTGCCTTCTGTCACTTTGGCCACCATTCCTGATGACAGGCAAGCCCACGTCCCTGCATTATCTCTGCTCTCCAGCCCTCTGGTTACCAATTCTTAACCACTTCAGCTGGCCTGGACAATGCAGAGATGGGATGAAGGAGGTGACATCCAAAGCCCTGGCTTTCATGGTGTCCCAGTGTGAGCCAAGTGCAGGGAGCACAGGCCCTGGTATCACCTGTAAGGATAACCACAATGGTATTCCCACTACGCCAAGAGATAGTGCAGCAACTTATTAGCCTGTCCAATGGGAGTAAAATTCCAGATTCAGGAATGTGTCCTGTCACCTGCCAGGCTTCTCAGTGGAGACCTGCATTGGGAATTTGGAACATTTTCCTTCCCTGGCTGTGCAGAAGTGGCTGGGAGGGACAGATACCTTGTCCTGGGCCACATCAAAAATGTTGTATCCCCAAGGCTGGACAAATGGAGGTCAGTTCTGAGCTGGGAAGCAACTTCACACCTCCATGCCTATTTCCCCAGCTGTGCAGTAGGGTAGTGGGACCTGCTGTTGACAGGACAAATGACACAAAGCAAATTCAGTGAGCTTCTGTAGCTGAGTGAGTGCAGCTCAGTGGCCTGCTGGATCCCTGCCTGAGCAGGGGCCTGGGTTCCTGGAAGAACAAACAGATGAGTAAACAACAGTGGTCTTGAGCTTACTGAGACATCTTAGAAGGATATAGCAGGGCCCGATGGTGTACAGAGCATGTGAGCCTCTCCTCACATGGGGTCTGTGGGATTATGAGCTGCCCAGTGGCCAGAAGCAGCCTCACGGTGCAGCATCTCCACACCTCAGACTCGCAGGGTGGTGCACGTGTAGGGACCATAGACAGCCCCCAGGTGGGCTGTTGGAGGTGGAGGGGGCAGGAAGTGGGAATCCAGCCCTTGAAAAGCTAACACCCTTCCTTTATGTCCAAAGAGCTGTACTTGCCTTTCTTCCTTTTGTCACTCAGTGCTACACACAGAGTTGACAGAAATGAGACACTGCACCTTACAGTGCTGGTGGGTCCCTGCCTGGTGGCATCCTCAGGAAGAAGACCCTTCAGGGCCCTGAGGCAGCTGTGATCTTGGGTTTGTTAAGGGGCTATGTCTGCAAGAGACCCAGTATCCCTAAACCCTGCCAGAGCCATGCCCAGGCATGGGATTTCCGCCAGCTGGGTTGTACTTCATGTGTCCCCACCCCAGTCACTCTGGGCTACTGTGATTTTGTCCCAGTCTGGCTGTCCTGCCAGAGCCAGGCCTTAATGCATCAATAGCCTCTTGAATTTTGCTGCACAGTTTCTGCTGTAAATCAGGGAGCAAATGTGAGAATCTGGAGGCAGGCCAAGGGTCCCCAAAGGACTCCTCCCAGTGTGGTGCCAGTGGCTCACCTGTGGCTACCCTTGATCTGCTGGAGGTCAGTGCTTCCCAGACAGCCCTGGACTTCCCATGCAGCTTGGCCCTGTTGGGCTGGGACTCAAGGTTGGCTCCCTTCTACCTGCTCTAATGCACCTTCCCTTCAGAGCAGGCCTTTCTGCCCTAGAGGTCCATGGCCTCTATGTGCCCTGCTCCACTGGTCTCTTCTCTGCCCCAGAGAAACCTGGCTCCTAGCTGCCTGTTTTCATGCTTCCCCAGCAAGCTCAGGCTCAGCCTTATTTCAGGATCTCACCTTCCTGCGAAGAGTATGCTCAGCCCCACCTTCCTCATGTGGCTGCATGGCTGAGTGGGTGTTCCCTGGCTAGTCTCAGCCTTCCTTTCTTCCGGGCCACTCTTGATGGGAATTGCATTTTGCTTGAACTCATGCACTGGGCTCCCCCTACATGTGGTGACCTCCTATGGGCTCTTGCTCCCCTGTGCTGGAATGCATATGTCCCCAGCCAAGGTGCCACTGTCCCACCCTCACCACACCCAGATGGAAGATGACTCTCATTGGCTGACCTCATCAGTTACTTTACAATCCATCTTCCTCTGACACATCTATTACTTAGAGTCTTTAAACAGGCATGGACATAGCAGGCTAGGCTCATGAGGCAGGGAGCCAGGAAGGAAGCTTTGTTTCCACCTTCACCTTTTGATTTCTGAGGTGCTGCAGCAGCCTGTCCAGAAAGGACCTCAAGAGATGTGCCATGAAGGCTTAGATCTAAGTCTCCTATGCAGAGACCAGCTTTTGGAAGGTGAGATTGGGTCATGGGAATTAAGTTCCAGCCGAGGAACACAGAGCATGCAGGTAGCAAGTGGCCAGTGTCTCCTCCGTCACATGGCTGTGGCCTGAGGACTCCTTTGGCTAGACATTCTCAGCATGCAGAGGTCCCTGACACACATGGGGTCCCAAAATGTGAAGGTTTGGCTCCTGGACAGCCAGCCTGGTGCTATCCATCTCCTTTCTTTGCTGGCCAGGAGGTAGAAGTCACTTTCTCCTCTGGGGAGTGGGTGGGTGGTGACATCCCCAGAGAGCCACTCTGCAGATGATGGTGAGTCATGCAGGCCAAGTGTCTGAATGCCCTCCCAGCCTCCAAATGGCTGCACGGTGCCTGGGCACTGCCCACAGCCCAGACCTACTGCTCCAGACCCTGTGGAAGCCACAGGATGGGCCCCTGGTCACTTGACCTGCAGCTTGCTAAAAGGCTGTGCTCTCAAAAAGGGTGGCAGTGCCAAGGGCCTCATGACCCTGGGTCCCATCATCTCTGACCTGGCTTGTTGGAAATGTTTGGTGCTTGGAGCCAAAGAGGCTGGTACACTGCCAGTGTACATTAGGGGTGCAGGACCGGGGGCTCCAGAGATGTGACAGCATAGCTCTGGCCATCAGAGACTGTGACAGGGGCAGAGAAGGGCATGGTGTCCATCAGATGCACAGATGAGCGGCTATGCAGATGAGAGATGGAACAGGGACACCCGCGTAGGGCTCAGTGCCAGCCCTGGGCTGAGCATGCCTTGGGCAGCAGCCAGCAGTGAGGCGTCTGTTGTTCCTACATGGGCACTGGACTAGCATCTGGGCGTGGTGAGCAAGGATGTCCTCCTGCCCAGTGGGGGGCTAGCACTGCGCCCTTCCTGCAGTCCCATTGCCCTGGCTGCCGGTGATCCAGCAGCCTGTACTCCCCAACACAGAGGGACCCTGCTGTCCACCTGGATGGTTCTGCCCTGGCACACACTGCCCCCAGCCTCCCCACTTCTGCTTCTCCAGAACCCCAGCTGGACCCTGTCCCAGGCCACACTCAGGTCTCTTCCCC